AATATAGCTTACCTTTGCTTTACCTCTGTTAATAAGCATTTTTTTGTGATTTATAACTCCAAAACTTGATAATGGAACTATATATTTATTTTCAGTTTTCTAAATCACTGCTTGAAAGTGTCATTGCATCAAACGGACATTGTTATTAGTCTGGTGCCTCGCGGAGTGAGATGGAAGCTTATATAGTGTAAAGAGTAAAGAGCAAGTATGTAATCTTATGAATCTTTCAATTCATATTTTGTCAGGTATAAACTGATATATATCATGTTAAATCCCGCTAGTCAAGAAGAGCTGTAAATATGTGAAATATTCTCACAAGATGTCCAAAATATTTCGCCCAATTTTATTTTATATTTCGTAGAGTCATGTAATGCAATGGTTTCCACCCGCTAGTTCACGGGCAGGTGTGCAGTTTTTAGCTGGTATGCGATAAATTATGCTAATTTGGTAATTTCGTATGCATAATTCCCGAAAAGACGCGGGTTATGTTCTTTTTTGGACGTTCTTCCATCGTTTGACAAGTATCGAAGTATGCGCCAGTCGCCAGCAATGAGGTCAGAATACAGGCAATGAAGGCATTCGCGGCTGCATTAATACAATTGGTCGGGCCTCATTTTATAGGATTTATTGTATTCGTACTTTACGGGTTTATTTCGTTGCCATAATGTTTTGTTAGTTTTTCAATAGTCTAGAACAGTAGTTTTTAACCAGGGTTTAATCAAATTTTTGGTGTTCGTTGGTGCTGTTCCAGGGGTTCGACGAGGTTCCTTTAAATTAAAACAGTTTTATATTATGTGGGACTTTTCTATCACATCGTCTACTAATTATGCAAATTTAACTACAGTTCATCTCAGATATTTAAACTTACACGTTCAACAACTTATTAATTAGCGTTGCTGTTTGTATAGCGTTTCGCAGTTGTAAGTTTGTAAGTTTTAGTGAACCCGTCATCTCCACGTCGCGCGCTTTGGTGTTTGTGCTTATATGCTAGTGCCCTTAGATGCTTTCTGCTTATGACTTTGAAACATCTTGGGTTGAAAAACCAAGGATTTTTAACCTGAATCTTTTCATTTTCTATAACCTTTAACGAAATTATGCTTCCCCTTTATAAAGTCGGGATTGGGCTCCTAATTTCAACCATTTGGTACAATGGGGTTTGACGGGAGCTTTCAGGATAGCGCAGGGGTTCGACAGGCTCGATATGGTTAGGGTTTAGAATTTGGACAATCTACGGAGTATTATTTTATTTGATGTTGCCATTTTGCTAGAGCAGATAGGTACGAATAGATTTGTTAAAATAGATATCCAATTCTTATCTAATTTATCAAATTACATTTTCTGTCATTCATAAACCCAAAACTTGACATAGTTCATATAGTTCACATAATGTCATAGATCGAAAAATTATTGGTACATTCAAATTTTAACCCCAAAGCCGAAATTAGATCGAAATAATTAAATATTTTTCTGAAATCAATAAATTTGTGTAAAATTTACCATTTTCGAATACCACATTGTGCCACCGCAACTTTTTGTTGAATTGATTTTTTTACATTAGTCCTCGATTTAAGGGTATATTCAAATTTTTCCCCGCTGGGGGGAAAAGTTCGAAATAATTCAATATTTTTGAAAAAACTTATTGTGCAATATACTAGTTATTCAAGTATATTACAACAGTTGTAAATGTTTCTTTGAAAAATGAGCAGGAGTGCTGCTCCTAATGCGGTGCTCGCAACGAGCAAATTACAGTAACGTATCACCAGCCGAGTTCCAGCAAATTCGAGTACCAAGTCAGGTCGAATCAATGTTGTTATTATCTTCAAGTCGTGCCTGGCTTGTCATTATAGATTCCATAAACAATAAAATGGATGGGTGAATATGGATGAATTGTCAACCCTGACTGTGCGCAATGCGTTGCTCCTAATGCGACCACGCATTGTGCCCAATGCGTTGCTCCTAATGCGGCCTCACTGTGCCCAATGCGCTGCTCCTAATGCAATCACGCATTGTGCCCAATGCGCTGCTCGCAATGAGACTTTTAGGCTACCGCCACTAATGGAGTTCGAACTTGCGCGGGAATCCGATTTCAAGTACAACGTCTTAACAACTCGGCCTTCACGGCTGACAACTGCGGTGCTCTCTCTCTCTCTCTCTCCTCTTTCTCGCTTCGTATTTCCAGGACGAGATTGATGAAACACACAAACGAATAACGTAATTCATTTATAAAATCCGTTTAGTGTGATTTATAAAATAAATAAAACGTTTGAAGATTAAATTTTGCGTTACTTTTTTAACATCCTGATTCAGCCCATTTTCATTTTGCAAAAACTTAAAACTTTACAACTGTGAAGTACAAAATGTTTAGATATATGCGAATACGTAGAAGAAGACTGTAAACAAAACTTTAGAAATCATGGAGTATCTTCGGAAACGTCATTTCCTGTCTTATCTGATATCGATGGATTGTCTTACATCGGTGTTGCTGGAAAAAGGTTTAAGAAACTACAGAATAATTATGTTGATATGTAGCCTATCCAGAACAGTGTAAATTAGTGAATTATTTTATTTCTGAATTATATTCATCTCTTTTTATCTTGAAAAATCCTAAAATTTTACAACTGTAAAGTACAAAATGCTCAGACACATGCGAATACGTGGAAGAGGCTTTAAACAAAACTATAGAAATTATGGAGCATCTTCGGAGAACGTCATTTCCTATCCCGTCTGATATCGAAAGATTGGCTTACATCAGCTGATATAATTCAAAAAGAATTGCTGGGGAAAGGTCGTATGAACTACGGAATAATTATGTTTATATGTAGCCTATACGTAGCAGTGTACATTACTGTGATTGTAGACGCCTATAGTTATTCAAACTCGTTCGTTTATGACAAATGTGGTTTGACACCAAAGGAGAATGTAGACTGGCCTCAGGCAAGTTTTTACGTATTCAAGAATTTTTGACGTAAAGAGTGGTAACATGAAAAGTAGAACTTTAATATAGCTGTTGAAATGCTAAATTAAAAAATACTTCAATAAGTAATTGTGAAACCAGTTCGACATGGTGAGCTGTAATCTTGGGGAAACATTAAAAACCCAATTGCATTTAAGATCCAAAAATATTGTAATTTTTTTTTTAGATTCCTTCTTCAGTCTGGTATCTTTCATTTGAATCTTCAGATGAGATATTTTCAAAAGTTGTCAATTGTCAAGTCATAAAATATATTAATTATGACCTCGAAGGTAGTGCGAGACTTCACATGAAAAACTACTATTATTCTGGGTGAGATACTGTAAAATGAGAATGTTTAGTTCGTTGAACATGTAAACATCGCATTTCTGTGATACTAACTATAAATAGATTTAAGCGTGATTGATCTTTTAAAAATTACTGTAGGACACTAGCAAAATTTTTGTGAATTTTTCCTGTAATCCATTTTAATTTAAATAATGAGAAATAATGCACTCCCATGTTTTAAAGAGATAAAATTAGCAAGGATTTAAAGTAATTTATTTTGATATCCAGCAAATAAAGATTCATATTTGTAAATACAGATCTGATCCTAAGGAATTCGTGATGGCAGCTTTTAAAACCAACGAAACAGCAGTATATCGAGGAATACGTGAGTTCGCAGTTACTATAACGCCCTTTGATTTATTATTAGCATACTAACCATAAGTGTTTCTATAATTACAGAAGACGCGGAATTTGAAGACGCCGAGTCCATTGTTTCTTGTCACCTCCACGATACAGTAGCTGCTGATGAAGGTATAGTGATATTTTCAAAAATAAATATAAGGCGCTCCGTCGAAATTTAGCAATAGTTTTGATAACGTGCTATACATAAGCAGCCAATAACATATGCATATACAACCAACTAAATATACATATACAACCATTATCATACGTATATACAGCCAACTCATTATCCATATATATATATAGTGAGAGAGAGAGTCACGAATGATATACATATTTTAGATGCATGTACTCTATTCACATGCCACACCAATGTGGCTGTGATATCGACCCAACTCCGATAAGAAAAGGATTCGCCTGTACAACTAAAATTTATCATATTGCATTACTGATAGGCTCGCCAAATACATGTTCCCAGGCTGTGGGCAAGTGTAGCTGCCAAATTTTGAAAATATAGCTTTATGCAAAAAGTGAGAATATGGTTCTGCGACCACGAATTACATTTCCCAAAATAAAACTACTGTCAAACCGGTTTTTCGCGAATATAGTTTTGCAACAACGGGCGTTTGCTCGATTGCCGAAACGGCTTAGCTTAGTATCCTATAGAAAGTCATAGACAAGTTACCGAAACATATGCTTTTTTAATAAAACAAACTAAGCCCTGTTCCAAACTATCGCCATTACAAAAAGGCAATATGCGATACTTGTTGTATAAAATATATCAAGTAACCCATTAGTAAACGGAAGAAATCTAATGGAAATCCTATTTTATGAACTGATTTATTCAGTATTTGTACATTACTTTCTATTGTGACCACTTGTAACACAAACATTTGTATAACTTATGTGTTTATTCTTACAGTTGAATCTTATGCAAATGGCAACACAAAGATCTCATTTGCATCAGATTATTTAACATATATTCTTGCTGTTGATTGTAATAAATTTGAAGGTAAGTTTTGAAGTGTAACAATTGCAGGAAACAAATTAGTTGTTACTTTGCGTGAAAGTAAACGTGAGTAGAAATCTTATAATTCAAGTCCCCGTTTCGAGAAACATCAAATGCGTTAAATGAGATAATAAAAAAACATAGTAGCATTGTGTTTCCAGCGCAATCAGACACGCACAAAATAAAAGATGTCATAGTCTAATGAAATGAAATAAAATCCAAAGTGTGTAAAATGTGATACCAAAACGAATACCGTGGTGTACTTAGTTTTGATTAGTTCTTACCAATATTCACTATAGTAATTATTTTCATAATACAACGTTAATTACAACTTAGTCTCAAAATTTTCAGGGATTCGATGGGTCGGAGTGTTTACACCAACACCATATCCAACAGCGGAAGATCTTCTTGGCGTCAGAAATACTTTGATTAATTTGAATGTGACATCGCCTCTAAATTTTTCTCAGTGCTCAAAGGTTGCTGTTGAAACCGATATTTCAACAAAATAATGCCACGACCAAAAATTGGATTGTTTGACTCATATTATATCCACGCATCCTATTATAGAACGATATAGCAAATAAATATTCAGACGCATAACAAAAAAATTTTCACCAATTTCACTGTTTGTTTGATAGACAATGTTTGGAATACTTGCTTTATTTACTATTCTATCAATCTCTCTTTCACTCTATTTCAAAGGTGGGGTATTACGGAAAATGTATTTGGGGAAATTGATTCTATATAGTTGTTTAGAACGTAGCGCTTAACGTTTCTACAAAGTTTCCACGACGACGGAATTTTCGAGGAACGCTTAAATCACTGGTTCTTAACCTTTGTGAGCCTGCCGAACTCCTACGCTATTCCGCAAGCTCCTGTCGAACCCCAAATATTTGAACTAAGAGCGCAACCTTAACTTAGTGAGGGTAAGTCGTTTTTGTACAAATTTATAGAAAATTTGACCGCCTCCAATTGATAGAATATGAATTCGTTGCCTTACTGTTGAGCATAGGTTGTTTTTGCGAGTTAAATTTGAAGGAAATGCTTTGTCAAGAGAGTATCAACCACCAACAAAAAAGGGTTGCTCCATTGGTTGTAGCAAAATAAATTGCAACAAACAGTAAACTTCAATTATTTATTAGATTTATTAGTGATACTTCTGCTGCTGTTTTTCGGTAACCAATTGAGAGATACGTGGCATCGTTTCAAAAGGGGCAATTCTCACGTCATTCTCGCATTGGAGTCACGTTCAGTTGAGCAGGTAAAGCCATAATGCATATAGTCATCAGACCAAGATTGAAGGGACCGTGAAACGAATTTTAGGGGCCGCGAAGAGAACACCAATGTTACACAAAGTACTATATCTATTGTACTTTTTCAGACTCTTGATTCGAAATACAATTATTATAAATAGTGTAAAACAAAAATTTCACGATTACGAGTGAATACATAAATCATCGTACCGTGTTTCCCCGAAAATAGGACAGTGTCTTCAATTTTCTTTTTAAAATAACGCTAGGACTTATTTGTGGGGAATGTAGGTAGAGAATAACGAGATTTTTAATATACCCAATATGAATACCGATTACCATTTACTCATAAATAGCATGTTTTCATTTTAAAAAAAAAACTGCTTCATAAAGATTGGTAACCATTTAAAAAGTCGAAAAGATTTATTGCTATCGACTAGGACTAAGTGGTTCTCGAACTTCATTGTATTGTGACGCCCTCCAAAAATATGCTCAAGTTGCGGCTCCCCGAAAAAATAAGTACTGTATTGATACCTTTCAATAAAAAACCTTTTTTGCAATGAGTTTAATATAAACGAACAAACAAAACCTAACGACAGTCACTGAAATCACATTTAATGGGCCCTGGTAGAAAAGCCTGCTTTATATAAATACGAAATCGCAAAGGGGGTGGGTTTGCGCAACGCTTTTTGAACCAAGGCAAAATAATCTTTATCCACAGAAAAACGATTTTTTAGAATTAAACTTTTCTATTATAACACCATCAGAGGTAAGATCGATTTAAACTTACTTTTTTCACTAAAAGTAGAAGATATGGGTTGGTTGAAAGGTTCACGAACCACGAAATTTTGCGACGCCCTAGCAAAATTAAAACGACGCATTTCGAGAACCACGGAACAGGGCCAAATAAAGATTTGTGCTATCGACTAAGTCTTATATTTTAATCATTTGTAAAATTCGGGCTTGGTTTTATTTTCGGGGAAACACGGTTGAATCATCGCGCTTGCATAACAGTGAATATTCTGATCGTAAGACCCGATTTGCAAAGTGCACCTCGAAAATTAGGATATTTGTGTTAAATATTTATTTATTATTTTATTTATTCTAAATGTTTTATTATTTCTCATTATTGCAAATAATGTGTATCTGAATCAAATTCATTTTACCGTTCTATGTTGTTCACTTTCTTTAACGTGTGGTCGATTGTTACGTAACAGAAAAGATAAACCCTACATCAGGGCTGGGCAATTATTTTTGCTCGAGGGCCACATTGCAAATCAAAATGCAGTGGCGGGCCGGACTAATTTGAGTCAACCCACATTGCGTTTTTTATTGTATTTTATTACACAATTGAATGAAACAAAATCTAATACAATTGTTATTTTTAATGAGACGCTCTGCTGCGCCCTAACAAGTCCTTGAATGTCGGGTTCAATGGCAGACGTAGATATTTTCAGCAAATCAGAAAGATGTTCATCGGTGAGAGACGACCGAAATTTCGATTTGGTAAAATTCATTACTGAGAAGGTTTGCTCGCAAATATAAGTGGATCCGAAAAGAACTAGCATCTTTTGAGCATGTCTCCTTATGTTGGGAAAACTTTTTTTATTTAGAGAGGAATAAAAATCCAGAATTTCAGATGATTTAAATTTTTCCTGAAGTAAAGTGTCACACTGCAAATCAATAAGCTCGAGTTGTGCATCAGATGGTATGTTTTCCACGTTACTGGTGAAAGGAGAAGAGACCATACTCATTTTATTTTCAATTAATCGGAAATCTTCAAATCGTCTTAAAAATTCAGCATGCAGTGCATCTAGCATTGTAGAGTACTTTTGAAAATCATTTGCAGATGTGGTAGCTGTGTTGAGTGTGGGAAAATGAGCGAGATTATTGTTCTGTAATTGGCGTGAAAGAAACTGCAATTTCGTTATGAACGATTTTATCAAGCTGTGCATATTATGCACAAACAGTTTTTTACTTTGGAGTTTGCAATTCAACTCATTCAATAGAGCAGTGACATCAACAACAAAAGCAAAATCAGATAACCATTTCTTATCTGAAAGCTGCGGAATATCCTTGTTCTTTGTTTGACAGAATTCTCGAATCTCCTGCTGCAAGTCCCAAACTCGCTTCAGTATTTTGCCTAAACTGAGCCATCTCACAGTTGTATGATATCCTATGTCAGTGTGCTCATTTTCTTGCTCTTCCAACAGGGAAATAAACTGTCTATGATTTAGTGCTCGAGACCTGATGAAGTTAACTAGTTTTGTAACAACATCAGTGACATGGCTTATTTTTAGCACTGACTTGCACAATACCTGTTGATGTATGATACAATGTAAAAACACTAACTGCTGCTTTGGGTCAATTTCATTAACTCTGTCTTTCATGCGCTTCAACAATCCCACATTTTTTCCTGTAAGATTTGGGCACCCATCTGTCGTCACTCCCGCCAATTTTTCCCATTTAAGTCCCAACTTATCCATGGATGCATCTACCTCGCTAAAAATATCTGCACCTGTTGTTGTTCCTTTCATTGGTCTTATAGCAGCTATTTCTTCAGTAATTTTGAAATCACAAGTAATTCCACGAACGAAAATAAGCAACTGAGCAGTGTCGCGTACATCACAACTCTCGTCTAACGCTAAAGTGAAGAAGTCAAATTGTTTGACATAATGTAGCAACTGATCTCTTAAATCTCCTGCGATACACTCAACCCTTCTGGTGACAGTTCTTCTCGATAGCGGAACTTGTTTAAAAGCATCTGTTTTATCAGGACAAACAATTGCTGCCGTCTCTACTAAACATTCTTTGACGAACTCCCCTTCAGAAAATGGTTTGCTGTTTTGAGCGATTTTGTGAGCTATTACGAAACTGGCCATGACAGCTGCATCATTAGATGCATGGAGTCGTGTGAAAAAACTTTGCTGTTTTTCGAGCTTTGCTACCATACTCTCCGCTGTTTGCGCCATTTCATTATTACTTAGATTTTTGTATTTTTTTGCATGTTTTGTCTCAAAATGCCTTTTTAAATTAAAAACCTTAATAACCGCGACCTTCTCCTTGCAAACCAGACAAACAGCTATCCCATCGACTTCTGTGAATAAATACTTCGCTGTCCAACTTTTGTTAAAAATTCTGCATTCTGTGTCAACTTTTCTTTTCTTGTTTTCGGCTGACATTTTGCAACTTTGTAGATCTAGCACAGGTTTAGAATTGACGCTACAGTTCAAGTTACATAAATAAAAGGATAAACAAAGAATAAAATAAAGCTGGGCGCAATTCAACAATTTATCTACATACCACTACTTCTACAATATTTGAAACGCTGAGTAGCGCAGAGCTGACTAGCCTAACTGTTTCCTTCTTAATTGGGACACGAATCAAAACGCGACTCATCGAAATTACGCGCGCAAAATTCACGCTTCGATTACTCTGCTGTTCAGTAATCACGTGCAAAAACAAGCGCTGATCGTTGCGACAAAGATGACTACAGATAGCAGTTGGTACTATGCCATGGTCTAATCTAAAATACACAAAGCTACCAAAACGCTTATTTCTATTACATTAATGAAATTTGCCCTCAAAGTATATTTTATATGTAAATAAAAAATGTAAGTATCTTCATTTAGAAATCTGCTCGCGGGCCGGATGAAACGTTGCCGCGGGCCGGATGCGGCCCGCGGGCCGGAGCTTGCCCAGGCCTGTCCTACATGCTGCAATTTCGTAGGCTGCAGTTTATTCATTTGCTGAACCGAGATTATCGAACATGATAACATGAGTGATTTTTTAGCATTTTAAAGAAAAACCAGGCAGGGATATGAAATAAAAGCGCTTTGCCACTATTCATTAGTCCTACATGTTTATAAACCTTAAAAGGCATAAAGTACACATTAACGATGACAAAATTGTGTTTTATTGTGAGGCAGCATATTTTTCGTGTACGTGCGCCGCGAGTTTTTTCTTGATAGATAATTTGGCGTCGCACAAACCGCTGCCTTATGCTAAATTTGATCAATAAGAGTGAGTGACAATTCCGGATAAGGACCATGCCGCCGGTGGTCAGACATCGTAATTCATCATTTAGGCTTGCATAAACAAAGATTAAGCCACGGCTGGACTTACTATACCGCAAAAAGCATTCGCTCCCATTACACTGAATAATTGAGTAACGGTAATCTGAGTGAATATGTGCTTGTTTTTGTTATTGAGTCAGAACCTTATGAGCTCCAGACATTCCTACCGAATAGTTGCATCGCCTCTACCCTTCGGCTTGAGCAAGTTCGATAGTTCGCTATCCAGCAAAGTGACAATATTATTTTATCCAATTTATGTTCCGGACAATGTAAAAAAACTGCTTGATTCGTATTTAAAAATGCGTTTTCTACCACGCATAGAAACCGCGAAACTAGGCGTACAATGAATATAAGAAGCGAAATCAACGTTAGAAACAAAACAGTTCTTGTGTAAAATACTAAATGAATCGCCATGTTACAACGTAATCGGTGGGCCGCGAACTCGTTGCCAAATTACTCGTATTTTTCTATGTTTTGTGTTATATAAATCAAAAATTATTTGTAATCGGACACCAGTATTTACTGGCCCCATGATATTCTATAATTTTTATCGACACACTCATATTGGAAATGTTTCGAAAACAACCATTCAGTACAACTAATATATAATTTTTTTTCATACCTGCGTAGACTACTTGTAATTTAGTAAATTGTGACTTTTTATTTTGTTTCTGCTTTCGTTTTTAATTTGCCGTCAATCAAGATTGTCCTGTTACAACTCCATAAAACTCCATACATGCATACATACCTGTTCTGCAATCCAGATAAAATTGGACATTGCTCAAGATGCTCGTTATCGCAATCTTTTGTTTGATTGATTTGTAATATTTTTTTGGTTATTTCGGGCACATCAATTAAACGTACCAAAAAAACTTTTGGTCGCTCGTACTTGAGCTATATATACATTGCAACATGGCGATTTATTTTGTATTTTTACAAGGACAGTTTTGTTTCTAACGTTGATTTCGCTACTTATATTATTGATTAACAAATCCGATTCTTCATTCAATTTCAATAAACATGTTGTATACAGATTAAAAAGCTTGTATGTTTCTTGCAGTTGATAAAAATGCAATAATTACCTTCAAGTGTATTAACAATCAATGCTAATGATATATGTTGGGTAGTCGGTTGCAAACATGATCTCCATGTTGCCATTTTCAAAAGATTCAATCGTAAGAGAAAATATATAATGATTGTGTTATAAACATAGTGATAATAGTCGAAAGTAATTGTTTACGGGTTAGAAATATTGAATAAATCAGATTATAAAATATCATTTCAGTACGTTGCTGAAGTTTACAAGTTACTCGGTATTTTATACAGCAGGCATCATATATCTCTTTTTCTATAGAACGGCTTTCATCCATAGCTTGAAACAGTTCTTAGCTTGTTTTAGTAAAAGAGCGTATTATTTGGTAACTTGTGAAATCTACAACTTTCAATATTTTGAATAATTTACTAGAGATTCTGCTATTTAGCTATTTATTGTAGAATATCGCACAATTTGCTGTCACGTCACATGTATATGGTCAAAATAGTAATATAGGGGACTGTGGCCCCATCTGCGTGTCCACACTCCCGTGTTATTAAACACACGTCAACAGAGTGTAACTCCGATCTTGACTCCTTCAGAGGTCTATAAGCACACAATGTGTTGAATGTCAATTGTTATATTGTAAAGATCCACAATCGAATCGATCCAAAGAACAGATAACGAATTACACTCAAAACCTTAATACAGTATGTGTGATGAAATCAAATTGCTAACTAACAAAGAACGACAAAGACAAGCAACACTGAGCGAGATAAAATATATCATGAAAAATGAATTAGAACAGTGGTCGGCAACCACCGGGCCGCGGCCCATCACCGGTCCGCGGAAAGGTTACTACCGGTCCGCAAAAATGTGACCTAACAACATAAATTATATATCATTATGAAAAATGTGCCCCACAACTACGAATCGTAAAAATTGATGAAATGCGACAAAGTGAATATAAAAAGACATTCATTAACTTTGCATTTGAAACTTGGTAATTGTGTGTCAAAAACAAGATGAAATTCTCTCACACGACAAAATGGCGGCGCAATCACTTAATTTATAATTGACCACATAGCAAGAAATTCAGTAATTTAACGCAGAGGACTAATAATAATAATAATAAAAGATGCCCCGGAAGTATGTGTACCAAAATGGCGCACAACCTGAACATAGTATGTGAACCAGGTTATGGTTCAGGTTGTGCGCCATCTTGGTACACATACTTTCGGAGCGCCTAATAAAGCAGAAAAAAGAAAGAAATCTGGCACTGGATGTAAATTATAAGAAGTCTAGAATTCAATTCAAGGCAATATTTAATTTGCACCTCACTGTAAGGTACAGTTAAATAAAGTAAGCTTCAAGAATTTGTCGCGTTCCACCCCATCTGCTCACAACATTACGAGTAATGTTGGAAATGACTTTCAGCTTGGATAGAAATTGACAAAGCCTATTATATAACTTAAATTAGCTTAACCTGGTTGATCTTATCGTCGAGTTATGCAGGGTATTTTGATCAAAGTCTGAATTTATAATACTTTATTTATTTAATTTATCAATGGCTTCTGTGAAATGGTAACACAAAGTTTATCATCTATGATTATGAGTCTTATCAATATTTCACAGTAGTAAAATAATATGCTAGTACAGTTGTTCTCAACCCTTTTTCTTCCGTGGCCGATTTTTGTTGCCCAATTATTCTTGTGACCCATTAACTTTTTATTGCATGTGGAAAACTACGAGAAAAATCAAGATCTTTCTGCAAAAATGGACACTTAAACGTTTATAATTAGAATGGGAATTACCTCTCAGTAGCGGAAAATAACCTCGTCATTGATTGTTGCAAAAACCTATAATTTTTGATGGTACTGTGGCCCACCTCAGAATCTTGTTAAAGACCAGTGTGCTAGTAAGATCGATACAGTCTTTTATATACGGTCATTTTTACAAGCCACGTATGGCATCAATAAAAACTACACTGCTGTCATAATACACTGAGTTAATTAACGTGTAAAAAACAATACCAACTGTTATTTCAGCCTGTTAAAAGTCACAAATTATTATCACAAATTAGTAAGAACTCTTCCTTATTCAACATCTTTTTCACAAAGAGCGTAAATTTGTTGGTCTCGACTGTTATAAAAATGTTGATTGTTAACATCGGTTTCATTTTTTGTGAACACGAAGTATCATTGATGTGCATCCTTTACACTGTATTTCTGTGTATGGAGTTCCTATTACCCAAGCGAAGTTGCTATCAGATATAGCTGAGCCATTTTGAAGATAAAGTTGACCCATCTGAAATGACATTGTCATATGTTTAATTTTTCATCAATTTCATTTCAAAATGCGTAAATAAATATATAATATGTATTTACAGGTTTCATTATCTTCCATTGTAACCGTAAATTGAACCCACGTATTTACATTTATATACTTTTGCACACACGGACAATTGCACACATACATTCGCACCAGCAGATTTTACCTACGTATATTTGCACCCACATACAATTGCAACCATGTACATTTTCATCTGCGGACATTTGCACCCGAGTACATTTGCACCTATTGTGTTTCCCCTCAAAATAAGATCTAGTCAATAACGCAATATAATTTTTTTGACCTAGTCGATAGCAAGAAATCTCTCCTACGCGTTTTAAATAATTTATAATTCGTTTTGAAGATATTTTGAAGTAAATGGATGTGAGTCTTCATATTTTGTATATTTGAAAATCTTGTAATTCTCTACTTTATAATTTTGTTTTTCATAAATGTAAATATAAGACATCCCCCAAAATAAGCTAATGATATTTTTCAGAAGAAAATTAAAATAGGACCCAGTCTTATTTTTTGGGAAAGACTTTACGTAGATTTGCACGCGCGCACATACATTTGCACCCGCGTACATTTACACCTACGTATATTTGCACCCATGCACGTTTGCACCCGCGTTCATTTGCACCCGCGGATATTTTCACCCACGTACATTTACTCCCGCAAATATTTGCATCACGGGTACAGACAATGTACAAGATTGCATTGTATATGTGTGCAAGTGCACATGAGTGCAAATGTCCATGGATGCAAGTGCACATGGGTGCAAATTTCTATGGATGCAAGTGCACGTGGGTGCAAATGTACGTTGGTGCAATATGATGTCACCGTATTTAAATATGTCATCCCAAGCATGAAATCTTTGATTGTGTCATTGTCCGCCATTATATCTTCTCTAATATATTTCATTATTCGGTCCATATTGATCTGATCATAAATATTTGCCAACTCTCCGCCACGATCGTTACATTCTTGTTCAGCATCCACCATGTATCTTATTTTGTCCACTAAAACGATGAACTCTTTTCCGTTGTAAAATAACAGATTAGCTTCCCCTTTTATGGAAAAAACACGGAAACAAATATGGTAAAACAAAAAATAAAAATGAACTTGTTTTTGTTCTCACGTATACATACTTAGCAATGACTGTTTTACTTTGCAGACAAAAGGTCGCCTAAGTTCTTAGGTATGTGGTTTGACACTTGTGAAATATGAAATATATGGTTAAAAGAAGTTTCTATATATTGAACAATACCATTGAGGGTCAACTGGTTAATATGGAATAAATTCGATAAAATATACCTGTTGTTGATGCATCCGTAGTTGTTTCATCTATGTCACGGAGTGCGGCAGTCGTGTTGTCAGTTTCTACAAATATAGTTGCCTCCGTTAACACATTGGTATCTCCGTAAACAATAACACAAATCAAGAGTTTTCAACTTTGCTGCAGTTCATTTGAACTCATTTTCAACTTAGAATTCCGCAATAACTCAAGTAAGTGTATCATTTTTTAAGTAATATCCGGAATTTTATTTGTATACATTTTACATTGTCATTCAGACAATCAATTGATAATAGTAATAAATAGACAAAATTTCAATGTTTATCGTTCGTAATTAATCTTTTAATATTTTTAATCTGGCTGAAGAAAAAATTTTCAAGTTGAGAATTACATCAACTGATATACTTTCCATAGAGTCTGATTCAGACTAAATAATTTCAGATAAAAGTTGGCAATGTTAAAGTTCGTATAACCGTTTACTATACATGCAAAATCACGGAGGAAAATTGTACGCAACTCGTCATATAAATAACGTTTTTAAAATACCCGCCCGCCGTGATCTTGTTATTTTAATGTTGGCCCGAGCTTCTTCCTTATAGCTTGCATTGATCAGATCGAATATAGTGCAACTTTTTTTAATCTGTATTGGAACATTTCAATTATTTGAAACACAATATGACTACAGCAGTGGTTCCCAAAACTGTGGATCGCGACCCCCGATGGGGTCGCGTGAAAATTTTCCGTGGTCGCCTAATATCTTCAAAACATGCGCACACAAGTGATTAGGATTTGAGAGTTGGAAAATCAAATTTGTACTGGTCGGCAGATATCGTAAAAGTACCTAACTGCGGGTTTTTCAGCATTAACTCGACCATTTGTTGTCCCAACGACGCCAAAATTGCTCGGTAAAACTTTTATGCGGTACCTTTCCAGCTGGTCGGCAGGTACCGGTATTTGGTAAATATAATTGAGTGACAATGGTACGAGCGCCAATAATATTTCCCTTTTTCAGCTTTTTTGATCATGTTACATCCCAATGAATAGTTGACCCGAAGGTAAGTAAATCGGATTTTTGCCAGGCTGCGAGAAATTATGTTGGTTTGTGATTTTGTACCAGTGTCGCCGCGTGGTTACCGAAAATACAAAGCGAACTGCTTTATCCGGCGATTGGACCTTAATCAGGTGTTTGACAAGTATGGTATTGATTGACAGACGGGGTCTTGACCGAGTAATTATTATTCAGTAATCAGTAATTTATTTTTCCACCGATGTTGAAAATACGCAAGATACATATACGGAATAGAATAAAAGACCTTTAGGGTTCGATCATTGCGAAAGCGCTCTGTTAATTCGCGCGTGTGTCTAAAATCTACGAGTAGGCTACGTGTTTTGCCCAGACATTTTCGTATTGCAATATTACGTATTCAGAACAGTCATACGAAATGACGAAGCGTTCCGAGCAGTCAAACACAAAACCACTAGTCCTGGCATAATAAAGGCACCTAACAGATGTGATTCCATACACGCTTTTTTCTATTTTACATTCATGCTCTGTTTACCTTCGAATTAATAATTGAGCAATCTGTAATAGGTTATCATAGAACTAAAAATACTAAAGACGCTGTTGGAATATACTAAATAAGCTTTTGAATTAATGTATATTTAAAAATAATCTTCCTATTTCCAAATATCGTACGCGTCCTTACAATCTACCGCATTTTATCAAGTACATCTATGTTTTGTCAAAGAACCGTTATAATTCTGATCTAAGAGATTATTACACCGAGGTTTTCATACGATTCCATGTGTTGTCTAATCTTTTGAGGTTTCTCCGTTTTTTTTGGCTCATTGCCGGACTCGTTCATCTATTTTTGGGCCTTTGTTCACCGTCAACGTCTCCGAAGTTGATATACAGGTACATTGTGATAAAACTTATATATTAATTTTTGAAGTTCCTGAACGTTTCTAGTTGTGGGGTCGCGAGTATCTGTAGGCTTTGATTTTATGAAAATTGGGGTCGCGAAAAATAATTTGGGAACCACTGGACTACAGAATATAAGAATCTCACCTGCAAATGTATTTTTTCCGGGTTGTGGAGAAAGTGTAATATTCGAGTTACGAGTTGTGGCATCTTTCGTTATATTATACTGATGTTGTTTTTCCAAGTCATCGAAATATTTTTCCAAGGCAGCGGCGCGTTCGGTTAAATTGGCAATGTTGTCTGTGAACACAAATAAGTTACGGTCATTACATGTAAACTATGAGTCGAGATGGGATAAAACGAAAGAGTAACAACTTTGACTGGCTTCGAGTGCGTATTTTCAAGTCTGAGACACATTTTCTGAGGCACTTTTGTTTAATTTAGACAATTATAATGGCGAATTCCCGAGACACAAAAAATAACCGAAAAAATATTTTTTTGGTACGAACTCACCGTTTAACTTATTTATCTGGCGTTCACAAACTTCGCTACCGACCTGTTAAAAAATTAGTTAAATAAATGAATTATTTGAGCAGTAATTATATATACAAAAATTTATATATAGCAGTTCCGGATAGGTTTGACCCCGAGGGTATGATGTATAGTTCTCTGAGAAATCAAATTGTGTCTCAGAAGCATAAGCATTTACAGAAATCTTGTGAACCACAGCTATGTTTTTTTGTTTAATGTCTATCTTACCCACATAATATCCAATTTCACCTTTTATATTTGAGTAGAAATTTGTGCGTTTTTTCCCATACATTGTCATAACAACAATGGGTAAATGTGGCAAGATAAACGCCGCTGGGTGCATTAATCACACACAGAACAAAAACAGTATCGACATTAGGTTTAAACATATTCAAAATTATTTGGCATGAATTCAACTTCCCCGACATATACAACACATTATATGAAAGATTTTTCTCAATTTGACTGTTATGCAAACATCTTGTGATGTTACAAGATATAACTCACCACGTTATCAGTTTGTATGTTTCCAGGTAATTTTCCCCATGAAGGTACATTGTTGCACAACATTGGAATGTAACAATCTTCAGCTGAAATACAAATACCAGAAATATAAAACACACATAGCAGTCCTCAATTATATCATCCCAATTGTGAAGTCACGACATAGTAGGAAATAAAAGTAATAGCCTACTAGGACGCTTCCATTTTTAACAATTGATTATTCGAAAATGATCCTCGACTTATTTGAGGATAAAGAAGACTGGCAACACCAAATTCAACCTTTCAAAACGGCCAAGATGGTGTACTATTGTACTATACGATTTTTATTGGCGTACTTATAGCCTATCGCAGTTAGATTGGAGATCTAGAATCTAGTTCAATCTACAAACATGCATACACACCTGTTACAAGTACGCATCCTAAGACAACAATCAGCACTGCACTGCAGCCAATGTTCATGTTGTAACAATTTTCACGATCAGTTTGTAGAGAAAACAATAACTGTATAACCTAAACAAAAATTAATTTTTTCGAATGTAAAACAATGATCAATGGAACTCAAACTATGGACTCAAAGTTCATTATGGGTAGATTTTCTTTATATAGGATTAGGATTAAGCAATGGACACCAGAAAAGCGTAAAAAATATAGAAAATGCAAGAGTAGTAGGAGCCCCTAGTCTAGAAAATGTTATCAACTCTAACTACTGAAAGTTGGACAGCGAAAAAATTAGCTTACTACCAAAAAAACTGATTTGGAAAATTCTCAATATTGAACAATTTAACATACAAAATAAACTCTTGGATTCGACATTAAATAAGTATAAATAAATAACCCCCCCCCCCCCCCCTTCAAAAGGCGTCAAAGCAACAGATTCGAACTACCTAATAGTTGAACACAACAACAATTGCAACATTCTCGCAGCTAGTTCACGAAGTGATAGCTGGATGGCTAGTGTTTCAGCACAATTATCTAGCATCATGATAATAACTGCGTACGTTGTATTTCATGTTGATGATCGTTTACGCTAAATGTGGAATTTTTAGTCATATGAGGAAGAGAATGCATATGCTCAGTCGTTATTGATATTATACCGAACTGTATTAAATTTTCTCCTCGATACAATATGTGTTATTGGATCTGATTGCTCAATGTTGTGGGATTGCATTTACCATCAACGTCATACAAACTTTCCCGATCTTTTAACGAATTAAATTATTTTATCTGAAATATACAGCTGAAAGCAACACAGTCACGTTTGTAGGATCAAAAATCGTAGAATCTGTTGCCACGTTTGACATGCCCCCCGTAAATTTATATGCACTGATAAAAATAGTAAGTATATTGATTACGAGTGCTGAAATATGGAATCATAAAATTATCTACTTTAGGAAATTTTTAGCTTTTTTTCAATTGGATTAAAAAAGACAAGGTGGGTGTGAAAAAAAATCGTAATTTAGTTATACTGTACTGAATATCGATGTATTGATCAGCATCGAATGATACATTTAGATTATCAAGTCATCAAATGTACCATTATCATTTTTTATATATTACCCAACATCATATGAAAATCTTGAACGAGTCACTTTGCTATTTGCTATAACATATTACTTCATTCATCGAAAATTTCATGAACAATGATTTATTTTCAAAATGAGATTGTCAAGCAAGTCTAAATTATTGATATACTGTTATGAAACATATTGTAATTTATGTCGTAACGAAACTAACAAACTATACATTCTACCAGTGATTCTAAAATTCGTTTCCAATATTGAACAATCGTAGTTCAGTAGGAGTAATTCCTGAGTGTGTGCACAACAGCAATGATTGTGTATGTAATTGCTTTTCACCTAAATGAACTTTTACGCTTAATATAAAATTTTTAGTCATATAAGGAAGGGAATATTGAAAGCTTAGTCATCAATGATATTATACCAAACTGTATACAGTTTTCTTTTCGATACAATGTTTGTTATATGATATGATTGTCCAATCTTGTGGTATTGCATTTACCATCAACATAATACAAAACTTCTGACATTTACCGAATAATACAAACTGTATTATCTGAAATCTTCAGCAGAAAGCTACACAGTCACGCTTGCAGGATCAAAAATCGTAAAATCTGTTGCCACGTTTGACATGCCTCCCGTAAATTTATACGCATTGATAAGAATAGTAAATATATTGAATAATTACGAGTGGTGGCCTGTGATTAGACTTCTTCTTCAAGAAATTAGCAATCGGATTTAAAAAGACAAGATGGACACGAAAAAAGTCGTATATTGGTTATACTGTACCGGTATAACGATCAGCAACCTGGATGGCACATTTCAATTATCCAGTCATCAAATGTAACAACATTAATTCTTCTATATTGCCCTACAAGCCACTAAAATCTTGAGCCACTTTGCTACTTACTATAAATAACAATTCATTCAACAATTTTATAAACAATGATTTATTTTGAAAATGAGATAATCAAGAAAGTCTAAGTTATTGATATAGTGTTATAAAACATACTGTCTTTTATTTTGTGAAAAAAACTAACAAACTATACATTCTACCCTCGGTTAAAACTCGTTACGTGAATAAAAACAGACAAAAACAATCTAGTTTACTCTTTCTATCTCGATGTTAACAACGTTTCCTCTTCACACTCTTCAGTTTCATTCACAAACCATAAAAAACAATTCTGAAAGCATAGTTCATTTGTTTAATCCAAGTTATTCGCGAATAAAGTTTGTCCGGTGGCTGAATAAACGTTGGTTATCGAAGTAATATAGTTTATGGGTATTCAACAGGGTAGAAGATATATTCTTGTATCATCGGTACTTTATGAATCGCTTGATTGTTCACGTACATCTTCAGTTTGGCTGACAACCTGAAAAGTGTTGGACAGTTGTCAAGTAAAATCAATTTTCAATTTCGAGTTAAGTTTAATTAATTATGTTTATCCGTATAGGTGGTATTCAGAAATAAAACGTTTACAATTTTTAACCTTAGTGAATATGAAGCCACACGCAACACAGTATTATAGTATGTAGATTTGTAAAAGACCCATTCATTGATGTCAATTTCATAATGGATCCTTTCAGGTGAACAAATTGAAACGCAATTGTGTCAAGTTGTAAGTTATAAAAGATAAAGAAAGCTATTAAATATAGTTTCAAGCAAGAATATACCCAATTGTAATAAGTTTAAATATCCATACCGCAATAAGAACGTAAAATTAATAAAAAATTTCATAGGTGTTTAACTATAAGCTGATTATATACCGAAAGAAATGAAAACGTTTTGCCAATCGAAGGGCATTGGAAAAATTCCTTCAACCAATGTAATTCAATTTGATACTGATTTGTCCTATTCAAATAGTCGCGATATACATCAGTCGGTTACCGGAACAGCTGTTTTAAAATCTTTATTGCTGGCATAACATTCCTCCGGTTTTCAAGTAAGTAACCTAATTAGAACGTCTACATACCTTTCCATCTTTCGTCTCGATGGTTTTCACAACAACCTTTTTGGTTGTGACTGTCTCAACATCATCGGTTTGGCGAGAATCTGCGGTTTCTTGCTTAACGTCTGAATATCCTATAAGGAGAGAGTGAGTAGTGACCAATATACGTCGTTAGTCATTTTTATGTGGAACGGACTCCAGGGACATAGAATTAAAACATGCATAGTTGCAAGTACATAGGCCTATTTTAGGGTATGCATCATTTTCAAATGTTAATCATTCTCAAGTACAAGGATATGTTCATTGTAAACAGATAATGCTGCAAGGCGATATTTCCATCTATGTACTAGATACAATCGTGTGTAATGTTCATTATTTGTAAGAAAATTTGATAAAATTGTTTATTGTATGATTATTTGAAAAGAACAGAACATCCTGTGTATGAAAGTAATGCATGGAAATCATCGAATATTTCGTTTATAACTGTTATTACTATGCTGCCGCTTTAGTTGTACTTACTGCTTCCATATGATCTCTGGACTGATGAATAAACTGGTACTGAAGTTCTCATGAGTTGAACTTTGTCGCTGATCCTGTGTAAGACATAATTATACTAGTTAAAAATTCATTTGTGAAGTTAAATGACATTGTCGTGAGACTTTCGTGATAATAGTTATGATTTTCATGGGGAAACCTTGGTAAGAATACAAGCATTCGCAATTTTTAATATTTTATCATTTCTAACGCCATATTTCTTAATATTATTTTTCAGGTCTATCGTCAATAACAGAGCTCTACGATACAATAATCAAACGGAAAAGTCATGTTCACTGTTTGGTCATATTACACCAATATACCAATTCCTACTATTACACCAATACTACAATCAAAACATTTCTTGGCATGATTTAGCAAATGTTTATTGCACCAAAATATAAAACTGCGTTTCAATGTTATCAAAAGGTATAAAATTGATTGGAATATTTTTCCGTTTTCAAATAGGGCAGTTTTGGTTTTCTTTCTTTATCATTTTCTGTTAATTTATGAAGGTTGACAACATGATATTATGAAGTAAGCGAACATAGACATGTAAATTATAATGGAATGCATGAGTTTTAGTGGAATACTACAAAAACGAAAAGTAATATGTTTAAACCTAGTTTCTTCTCCTTCCAAAAGTTTTCTGTAGGTGGCGATTTCGAGGTCAAGTGCCATTTTGACGTCCATAAGTTCTTGATATTGACGAAGATGTTGTGCCATCTGTGTCTTCAACTCTTCGCATTCAGACTGTATGAGATATAATAAACAGTAATGTTTACGAATATTCCGAATTACAATGCAAGCATGTTGTTATTGGAAACTTATGTTTTGAAACATAAGTATAGTTTTACCGTAGCTCAGATCTGAGATTAAATTTTGACTGAGTTAGCAAAAAGACAAAATAAATGAAAACTGTACTTTAAATCCAAATTATGAGAGCTATTTAATACCATGTACTCAAGGTTACCTGCAATTTATTGATAGTTTCTTGACTTGCGTCCATATCTCTGTTGTATCTGTCTTCCAAATCGCCCAGATTTCTTTGCAGTGAGTCGTTCTGAAAAAACAAAAATGTAGAAAAATCAGCTGAAAAATTAAAATTACATTTATTTGATACTATTGAAACTACAAAATGTTCTGTCTGAATATCTTTGAAATAACCAAAATCTTGAGGTTTGAGGGATTTTTTAAGTATTGAGTACATGATTCCGAGGATCTCATTAAAACTTACCGTTCCTCTCATTGAGTCAATCTCAAGGTTGAGAGTCTGAACCGTTTTTCTGTATTCGCTCACTTCATTCTTGACAGCTCTCAAAGCCTCGTCGTTGCTTGCTGCTTGTTGTTTGAGGTTTCCGACCTGTTGATACATTTTTGGAAACTTCAAAATATGGTTTTGTGCCTTGTTATATTTGAATTGGTACAAACTTCTTGTGATACATTATTTTAATATAATATGTAATGAGGCATGCACTACCAATTCATAGGTTTAAAAGTAACCACTTCATCATTCCCATGAGATGACTATCATAATCTGAAATAGTTCTGAGCTATCGTATATTCCCGTCGCGACTGTGTCTCGCGTGACGCATGGGAATTTCGCGAATGACTTCAATTGCACGCAGCTGGAAAACAACTACTGTCGTCATCTCCATATTTTCTTCATAGTGATTTTGTTCCGGTAAGTTTGTGCCAATCGATTTAAAATTTTAGAGAATCGACAGAAAATATTATTTATTTTACCTCTGATTAAGTACGCGCTATAATTTTAATGCTTTACAAAACGATGCCCCGTGATTTAAAGGGGAAAACTAATTCAAAACGTGTCGCCAACTGCCGGAAACCAGCAGTTCTTGCCCTCATAGCAATGTAAGTATCTCCACTCAATAAAATGTGACGTCAAAGAAAGACAGTAAATTACAGAGCAATTTCCATTCATGTTCTATGTTTAAAAATTCTCTAGTTACCACTTATAAGGCTAGTTTTGGTTTCTTACCTTATCTTCATACCACTTCTCTGCGTCCTCTCTGTTCTTGCGAGCAATGTTTTCATATTGAGCACGTACATCGCGCAGAGCTTCTTCCAGATCCGGAGCAGGTGTTGCATCAATCTTGATTTCAGTTGATCTGATTCTATCTTCCAATTCGTCAACCTCTTGTTGATGTGCTTTCTTCAAAAACTCAATTTCTTCCTGCAAAGAAATTTTACAAATGAAACTCAATATCAATATTCCTATTGCATTATATACTTGTATTATCTATGTTCATATGTGATTGTATTACCTATATCGGACTATATTTGTGACGCAGTGTTTAAATATACAGGCATTTGATAGTGAGTGCTCAATTTAAATTTCTATAAGTATATAAAGCTTCAATAGTAAATGACATTTACATGTTGAACTATCTAAAAAAACGCCCTTGAATAAGAATGTATTTGAAATACTTAGTCTTACCTGCAAGGTTTCGAGTCTTCTTTCAAGATCAAGTCGGACCAAAGTTGCATCGTCGCAATCCTTGCGCATTCCTGCAAGATCGTCTTCAACTTCTTTTCTGGTGATCTGTTCTTCATCGTACCTGTCATAGATAAAGTTTCATTTATTTCATGTGGACCTTGGCATTTTAGCGCACTACCAAATCTTAAAGCTAAAACACTTACATATCTTTCCACTTAGCAATTTCGATAAGTGCGTTTTCCAATTGAAGAGCGAGGGATGATCGTTCGCTGGTTAGCCTGTCGATTTCACGTCTGAGTCTGGACATAAATTACATAAAATTATTGCAAATAATGCAAAACCAATCCAAGAAAGAAATTATCACAAATTTCGGTGAAGCAAATTTTAAATAACCCCGCAAAAGATAACTGAAAAAATGAAAACCAGAATAAATTTTGAAGCACGTAAAATTGATAACATTAAGATAGGTTGTGAATTTGAAGCATATTTATTTAATTATATATTGCAGGGAATTACTTTTGTACAAAATGATTCTGACGTTTTATTTTTATTTCACAGATTAAAAATAGTGCAATTTTGTTTGTATGTAGAAGTTAAAATAACGAGGAATCAGTTACAAACCTGTTGAGCTCATCTTCGTAAGTTTCCGCCAGTCGTGAAGGTTTAGTGGAAGATAGTTGAGCAACTTGTTCCTCAAGAACTCTGTTTGCTTGTTCCAAATTTCTTACCTAAAAATGAATTTATTTTCAAGTTGTATATTTTTCTAAGAAGGCTTTATTGTTATCTTCTTTTTTGTTTCACCTTTCATTCATTTAGATTATGTATAGGAATAAACCATGCTACTGTGAAAATATCTAACTGAAAAGTTTTCTTGATTTATTCTCAAAATGGCATTTTGTAAAAACGTGATTCTGAATACAGAGCCATAGAATTGTGTATTTCTTAGAATACATGCTTTTTAATCTATATGCGTCCATGTGTATTTTTACCTTTGTGATATATTCAGCAAATCTACTGTTAAGCTGTTGAAGTTCAGCTTTTTCGTTGATTCTTTGTCCTTGAAATTCAGTTCCCATACTCTCTTCCAATGCAGATATATCCCTCATTGAGATTCCGCTGTGAACAGGGGCTCCTCTTACAACTGAAACATGTTCCTGAACAATGTGATGGCCCCCAGTTCCGCCGGCAATGGCTCCACCAGCACCTGAACTTTGATATCTGTAAACAAACCAAAATGTTTTCTCATTGTTTTTTTATTTTTATTTTTTTCAAGATTGCGACTAAATTTGAACAATTGGTTGGTAGCAGTTTAGCACTTGAACTTAAATCAGTTCATCCTCCTATATTACAATAGGTGTGAACTGATATAGCACGCGGACAAAAATTAACATCTCAACAAAAAAAAATTTGAAGTGATGAAACTCGCATCTTTACCTGCTGAAGCTTCGGGAAGAACCACCTGTTGTACGAGGAGTTCCATAGTCAAACAAGGATCGATTTCCTCCAAAATTGCGTCTGTAGCTTGAAGTTCGTTCTTCAACAAATCTTTTGCTGCTGTGAGACATTTTGTAGTTTTCTTCTAAACAATCCTGAAAATCCATTTTATGTTAAGAACTATCACTAAACAAGGAGCATGTTTGAAACGAATAGTGTATTTTCCCACTGACTAAAATCTACATGCGATTCATTGCTTAACTTCATGAAAACTGAAAGCCAAGTTACCAGGAGTCTTCTGTTTTTAAAAAGTAGTTTATCTATTGATATTTCATTGTATATACAGTTCAGAGACAAGTAGCCACTGTTGTATGTTTCCTTAGTGATCAAGCTTACGAATCATCATTAACTCGTAACTCCATTTACAATGAAAGTATAATTCATCTAAAGATTTTTCTACAATGTTTACCAAACAGTAAGCTCACTTCGTTTACTGAAAATTGAATATATACTCCGATCAATGAGATACAAATGTATAAATAATATACCTTTGATGCAAACTGGGTTTTCAGAAGTGGATCTTCTTTCGATCTGATTCAGACGGAATGGTGACAAGGTCAGCCTTGCATCGATTTATAAAGCGACTGCCGATGCGCATGCACATCGTCAAACGAGTTCAAACGCACGATATTTAGCAGCCTATTAATGGAACTAACAGATAGCGCATGTGTTGTTCGCCGTTCACTCCGTAGGGTAGACACATTCGGTAAGTGCCAAATTGATCACGTCGTCTTCATAAGGGATCAACTGCGATGAATAATCTCCCAAATTAATGGCTTGTCGTAAAGTACTAAGGAATCAAAAGATGTTTCTAGTAGGTGTCTTGTGATGTAAAATCGGAAGGACCATCTGTAATAGAGCTAAAATTGTATCTACCGTGTTTATTCATGATGGGGTTAAAATTATTTTCTGGCTTGTGATAGTTAGTTTCGGAGTTTATGGAACTCTGCGGTTTCCCGGTTCTTCTAAAACCCAACAAACAACTCTCAACGTTAATATGTGAATGCTTGACACACTCTTTATTTCGTTCCAAAATAATCTGTTTTAAAAGCGTTACATTGCTTCAATGGTGTTTCGCGGGGGAATTGGAAATGAGTGGCCCGTATTCCCCTTAATCCCAAGTTATCCCATATTTAAAAGACACTGCCTTGACCCACAAATGGCCCATGACAAAATTGGACACCAGTCTGACGCCTTGAACTAAAATAACTTGTTTTCCCCATCTTCGAGGCTGGCACCGCAGCTGGCTTCAGACAAAATATATCCAATCGAAAGTTGGATTATATAGGGAACAAAAGTTCTCCAATAACTTCCCCAACTTGATAGTAACAGATAAAAATCATTTGGAAAATTAATATTAGGATATTTGGACAATTTCATGCATTAATCTATGAATTTCCTCTTTTGCATCTTATCATTTGCTGCTGTATATATGATGATAAACGCGGGCTGAGCAACTTGGAATAGTTTGAACTTTTAGTGAGTGACTTTTATGGAAACAAACCACATGTACAATGTTTCGAGAGCTAAAGAAATGTATTATTTTAATGCATGATTAACACCCAATTCGCCCTAAAATGTTTAATTTCAACTTCCAGTATGTTATTTGGCAATTAAATCTTGTGCGAAAACGAAGACGATATCTTGTCATATAAATTTTTTTTTTCGATTATTTATCTAGTGTTTAGGTGTCATGAACCAAGATCTTCAAATACAATAAATGACATATTCATACACAATATATAATAATACCATTCATTTCGGAATTTCTACACCCAATTATTACTTTTCAAACCCTTTTCATTGAGCGACGATTTTTTTTAATTTTTTCGGCCTTTACTTTCTCAAATTCTAAAAACACGACATGCTGTTTCATTTCTTTATTAATTATTAACCACAAAAACAATCATTTGACACCAGTATATGAACCGGCAAAAAGTTTGTGAAGAGCAGCGACTACTGCAAAAACTGGCTTTCTTCGTTTTGGAGTAGCAATTGCTTTCTTGGTTTTGCTTTGCCTTGATCTCCATTATCTAAACGTAAAACGGATTAGATTTCATTAAGAACTCGTAGGACTACAAAATCAACGCGAACCTAGACTATAAATTTAGTATTATACCTAATCCCTCGATGATAATAAAAGGTTACCGAAACACTAATTTATAATACTTCGGTGAAGCATGGCAACGGTGGTGCAGAGGTGCAAATATCTAAAAAAAAGTTTTTCAAAATAAAAAGTGTTTAAAATAGCTTCTACCAACCTTCTTCGCCTTCAACAGGGTAGCCCTCCACAATCAAAGCAAAATAGGCAAGAATTATAGCCAACAAAATGAGCTTTGACACGAGTTTTGCATTCATACTTATTGTATTTATAAAGTAGCAACTTGACTTAAAAAGAAAAATATCATACTATGTATGCTCATATCTCCATTTTATTCCCCATAAAGTGTCAGCGTTTATACTAATTTCTTGATGGGACATCATTTCAAATTTGAAGAAGCGCAGTTTTTAGTGTTTTTGTTTCACTGTCAATATCGAAGTAATCTGAAACTCCACAAAAATTTCGAAAATTAACATTTTTTGCAACGCATTTAATATACATTCTACAGTGCTTTTCAACGTTTTCGAAGAATTTGTAAAAGTAACAACAAGATTTACTAGAATAATGATAATAGAAATATTTCCAGTATATCTTATATATTACATATTTCTGGACTATTCCTGAAAAATCGTGAACAAATATGGGCGGAGACGCCATAAATCCGTCAGATTTATTGTCACTTCGCGCTTGAACGATCTTAATTTTTTGTAAGCTGCATTTCAGTAATCGTTGAATTCATAAGCAGTTTCGTAGCTGTGCTGTTTCAAAAATATATTTTATCTGTAGCGTAGTCTGCCTTCAGTTCTTTATAAACAAGTACCAAGTTTTCATTACAACACTACGTTATCGTCAGAGCAAAGCACTTCAAATTAGGACACCATAGGGTAGCATTAGCAGACTAAGCAGTAAGTCGCACCAAACACGTCCACCTGAATGATTACAGCCTCGGATATACAATATCTAATACAGTAAGGGTCGATAGCGTCACCTAGCGGTATGGCATCATATACCACAATAGTGCGGGGTCCCTAGTAGGTATTAGATCATATATCACAACAAGAGAGCAATGCTCAAATATATGGTCACGTTAACCAGAGCGAAGCAGTCCTTAACCTTTGACGCTACCGGTACCATCAAAAAATTTCCGAGTTTCGCGCAGCAAGAATTTACAGAATCAAACCGGACAGCCATAGCTCCCATGGAGAAAATAATACAGCAAAATTTTGGACGAAATATCAGATTTCATACGAAATTTGGAAATAAAGAAAAGTAATAGCCTTCTAGCGAAAAATATATTCTTTACTCACTGAAAATTGTAAAGCAAATGGTCCAGTAATCAATGAGGAAAAGCGATTTTTTCATGACGATATCAAAAAGAATACAAACTAGAAAACGATAGAAGACTGCCGACTTATCGATCTGCAGTTTCGATTTCTTAACTCTAACTCAATAGCGACATCCGCGTGTTCCATCACTGATTAATTAACAACTTGCTAATTATACGACATAATCATCCAAAATCAATAGGTTTTTGGTTCGAGATATGATGAATGAACATGCAAAATTTGGAGCAGATTCAACCTCGCTTTCGTGAGATATCGCGTAACATACGCAAGTGTCTAACAGACAGACAGACAAACAAACAAACAAACAAATACCTATCAACATACTCACCGATCAAGATCAATAAGAAATAAGAAAAGAAGAAAAAGAGTGCCAGCATAAAATGCAAAACGATCGTTATGCCCACTAACGTGTCCAATGATATATATATAACACTATTTATTTTTTATATTTGAGCACTGTTTTCTTTTCAACTTTATCTTGTCGATTCAATCATACAATGCTTCTCATAAAGTTATCACGTGGACAAAATTCTTTCATTTTTGTGTCAATAAAACTTGAAGAACCACATCAGAAGAACATCGCTTTATATTCTCGTTTTATGTATATTTCCATAATTCGTGGGTACTTCCTTAGTATGTGTACCAGGTTAGAGTGAGGCGATAATTATTCCGATTTTCCTAATTCTAGTTTCATTACGAACTCGGGGACTGTTTGTGTTAGTCAAGTGAATATACCCCCCGCCCACAGGCTTCCGTTCCTTTACACAACTTGATGTGAAGTGGCGAAGAAAATTTGTTTCCTCCATATTCGTACACATACTTCTTAAGCACCAATTCGTGTATAAGTAGACAAAAATCTAAGTTTTCATTTTGTCCTCAAAATGACTCCAAAAGCTATATTATAAGGCGAAAATAATACTATCATATTGTGTAGGCTTACCATATATCTGGAACAAAAAACCGGGACATCCAGGATCGAACTAACTTTGGTTCGATTCCGAGGCTAAGTAATAACTGAAACTTCTTTCATATCTTTGCGAGTAGATACCGGGCATCAAAACTAGCTATAATTTAGTTCGTACTCGGGGTCGCAAAATATTTTGTATAAAAGCAGAATATCGTTGAGAGTTGGAATACCTTTTAAATTATTCGAACATTTTAATAATCGACCTACGTTGCCATACTGCAGTATTTGTACTCATAATGTCAAAATGATTTCTGCTCTGTTACTTGAACAGTGTGAATTTATACAATTTGACAACAAGACTTTCTACTCAAACGGGCAAATCCGCGGAATGATGTTGGATTCAGTTTTGAAGTAAATGAGCGCACATCCTAAAACGGTCCCGTGAATGTAAAGTTTGTTAAGGAAACATTATTACCCCTTGTCTTTGTACGATCCCACTTGGCTTTTTGATAAGATATCAGCAGTGCAGTTTACATTGGGTTTCAAACTATCGCAAGGAACATATATTACCTATGACACAACAACACAGCAGTTCTTCCTCTGTTAACTAGTGAATCAGAAATGAATTGGATTCTTCCGTTAAATAAAAGTACTTTGTAATAATATTATATATATATATATATATAAATTGTTAATGACTGCCATGCTGCATAACCGGGACATTTAAGGCTACCGGGCGGGACGCCGGGACAGCTTGTCAAAACCGGGACTGTCCCGGCTAAACCGTGACGTATGGTAAGCCTAATATTGTGTATTGAATAGAACCCCAAGCTATACAAGCTGATTCTGCTGGTTTCTTTCTTGCTTATTCGTATATTGCTTTGTGTGATCACAAAGCAGATTGAATAATATATTGGAAAAAATAACATTTATACGCCACGCCTAAATTGCATTTAAGCAGCATCATTTTTTCCATGATCAAGCATATAAGTAAAATTTTTATGGCGTCATATGCGGGAATATCTAGATCCATTACTGCTTATTATAGATAAATAAATATGACGATTCATTCACTTCCCACTATATTATTCACTATTTCATTGCTTTATGATGTCTGAACGATATATTTACTAAATCAATGTGTAGTTGGCCAAGGAAAGCACGCAATCGATAAACATGATGTCAGTGACCCCATTCCTGCTGTAAAATACCATTCAATTTGTGCTATTGGTATAGCAGTATATCAGAGACGAATACAATTGACCGCAAGTACATACGACACAATTTATTATTAGAGTTCAAGACCTAAATGTGATAAAAAATGTATTCGTACGAACGAATGATCTTTGCCGGTAGGCTATTGTTTTGTCATGATGTAAATTAATTTGCTGTTATTACGTCAAGAATGCGCGTAGCAATCAATGAGGTTCTAATACCATTTCTAGCAAAATCAATCATTCGAATTGACCAATCTAATTGCCCGGTATAAGAACCTGTACCCCTAAAATAAAACAAAAATAAAGACAGATGTCAAAATAAGGACGTTTCTTGAAAAAGGAGACAAAAATATTTTTCAAGACACAGACTTTCAAAATAAGGACAAATCTTAGAAATAAGGACGTTATGGCAGACCCGTATATACCACTAATTTCGGAATATTTGTACCCAATTATTACTATTCAAAACCTTTTCATTCAGCGACGAACGTTTTTCTTTTTGTGGACTTTACATCCTCAAATTCTGAAAACACACAATACTTTTTGATTCAGATTTAATAATTGATGATAACTACTAAAAAATCATTTGACAACGGTAAATAATACGTCATAAGTTTTTCTTGTTTTTTTTTTGGAGCAGCCATTACTGATATCCCTTGTCATACAGAAATTGGCTTTCTTTGTTTTGATATTGCATTGTTTGCTGTTTTGGTTTGTCTTTATTTCCATAGTCTAAACGTAAAATGTAAAACGGTTTTCAATTTGATTTCATTAAGAACTCGTAGAAAATTAACGCGAATCTGGACCATTAAATCCAGTATCATTTAATCCCTCGGTGATAATAAAATTTTACCAAAGCTCTAATTTTAGAATACTTAAGTGAAGCATGGTAACAATATACAATATATGTATATGTTTGCTTGTTATTCAAATTGTGAACAAACCAAATATTCTGGTGACTTATAGTCTTCTACCCTAATTGAGCTATCTTTATTATCATTGCGAGCATTGCTATAAAATATCCGGGTGTTTCAAGGGCAAAGACGTGACTTCGGACTAACTACAAATATATAGATTTTATAAATCAATGCAATCTATCAACCGATCTCAACACTTTTACCTCATCGAAAAAACTACCAGTAAAGAGTAGATTTAGATGGAACACCAAATGTCTAAAAGAGGTATTTTTAAATACGAAGTATTTAAAAATTGCTTTTACCAACCTTTTCCGCCTTTAAGAGAGTAGCCATCCACAATCAAAGCAAAATAGCCAAGAATTATAGCCAGCAAAATCAGTTTTGAGACAAGTTTTGCATTCATACTTTTTGTATTTATAGACTATTAACTTGACATAAAAAGAAAAATATTAAACTATGCTCATAAAGTGTCAGCGTTTATTCTAATTTCTAGATGGTGCATGGAATGCATATGGACAAATTGAAAACGATATTCTCTGTATTCGGCTACATATAAAGAAAATACTTAATAATAAAAGGGATTTATACTCGAATAGCGGAGAGGAGTTAGGATAAAAAAAATTCGTAAAACGTCTCTCCGAACAGCTTTTTTAATGGATATTTTTCAAGCAAGTATACAAATCTGCATTATATACATAAATATATATATATATACTTGATATATGAAACAGCCCCTTCGCGGTGTCAAAAGGATTGATTCATCAGTTACATTTCTATGATGTTTTTCACTACCAATATCACAGTAATCTGAAACTCCACAAAAATGTTCGAAAATTAACATTTTTACAACGACATTGCTGAACATCTGGAAATATTTGGGTACTTTCGTAATCATCTGGCTTCAACAAATAATTATGCTCAGGTATATTATATTCATTCTATAGTGCTTCCCAACGTTTTCCAAAAATTTGTAAAAGTAACAACTAGATCTACTAGAATAATGATAATAGAAATATTTCCAGTGTATCTTATACCTATTATATCCTGCAACAAACTTTTTTCATTTTTTTGAACTATTCTTAGAAAATCGTGAATAAATATGGGTGGAGACCCCATAAATCTGTCAGAGTCATTGTCACGCATTTGACGCTTGAATGATCCTAAATCGTTTGTAAGTTGCATTTGGAAAATAGTTGTGCTGGTATAAGAATGTATCTATTCACATATTTGAGCACCGCTTTCTTTTTAACTTTATCTTGTCGAAGACGTTTTATGTTCAATGTTTGCTCTTGTTTTCTAGGCTGATGATGTTTAAATAATGGCTATCACTTTGTCAAGAAACATTCCAACAAGATAAGTTTTCGCGTCACCATTTTTTGCAATTTCTGGAAACAGCTTTATTCAATCAGACAATTTTTTTCATAATAGAATTACTTGACAAAAATTTGTTCATTTTTTGTTTCAAACTAGAAGAACCACATCAGAAGTACTTGGCTTTATATTCTCGTTTTTATGTATATTTAAATTCGAGTATAAGTCGAAAAATCTCAGTATATATTTTGTCCTCAAAATGACTTTTGACCTTTTAATAAAAAATTATACCAAAAGTGAGATTATAACGCGCTAAATTAATAATATCATATTGTGTAATGAACAAAACAACAAGCTGAGAAATGGATTCTGCTGGTTTATTTCTTGCTTATTACTTATCGATCTTAAGATCGGTAAGTATATTGATAGGTATTTGTCTGTATGTATGTATGTCTGTCTGTCTGTCTGTCTGTCTGTCTGTGTGTCTGTGTGTGTGTCTGTTAGATGAACGCGATATCGAACGCGTGGTTGAATCTGCTCCAAATTTTGCATGTGCATGCATCATACCTCGGACCAGAAGCCTATAGATTTTGGGTTAATTATGTCGTATAATTAGCGAGTTATTAACTAATTACCGATCTAAGATCGATAAGTCTTCGGTCTCCGACCGATATTCTCTTTTGTATCTTGCATTGTTAACCATTTTATAATGATTTTTAAAGTGTAATAACAAAGCTGATTGATTGAATATTATTTTGAAAAAATAACATTATTACGCCAAGGCGCAAAAAGCTTTTAATCAGCATAATTTTACCGACGTTTAAGCATATAAGTAGAATTTTTATGGCGTCAGATGTCGGGAATAGATCCATTACTGTTTATTATAGATAAACAAATATTGCGATTCATTCACTACCCACTATATCATTCACTGTTGTTGTCTGAACAATATATTTTACCAAATCAACGTGTAGTTGGCCAAGGAAAGCCCGCAATTGATAACATGATGACAGCGATCCACCCCATTTCTGCTGTAAAATACCATTCAGTTTATGTTATTGGAAAAGCAGTATATCAGAGACAAATACAATTGACCGCAGGCACATACGGCAAAATTTATTATTAGAATCTCCTAACCCAATGTTACTTGGTAAGCAACCCTTACACAACTTTGTGATGTTTGTTAAACTAGCAAACACATAAACCAGTACTGCACACATTATCAAAGTGGCCCCCATACTTTATTTTGAAGATAGCGAAGAACATAAATATCTGCAAATATGGTTTATTGTTTGGACAACGGGCGTTCATTTGGCAGGCTCTCCCAATTTGTCACCAAAATGACGGACTGGGTGCACAAATATTTCTCACCAAGACAACGTAATAAACAATGCAGAGGCAATGAGTTATAAATGGAGATTTTACATAAAAAACTTAATGTTCGTTCGAAATTATATGCCATTGAAATGTCGATATCAACCGTCCGAGAGTTGCCATATATTGTTTTTGGTAATAATAGATATTGCTCTATACAATTACTGAAAAATGCTAGTTAATATTCTGAAAACAGAAGCTATGAAAACCAAAGTTAGAAAGCAAAATGAGTTAATAAATCATACTTCTGATCGTTTGGCATAAGTCTCTATTATTCGTTATTTGTTTGAACAAACAATTTGAGGTTTACAATTGAAATGATTTCCGACCTAGTCGAAGAAAATTCAATGTTTGTTGTAATGATGCTCGTTTGACGCAATGAATTACACTGCAAACATTAGTTGGCATACAAACATTCGTCACCAATCGCGTACGATACTGGGAACAAATCGTATCTACGTAAAATACTAGTCATTCTCGTAATAATTTGATTTTAATATTTTTTTGTCAAATATCCGTTATATAGCATCAATGTAAATATTTTGAACTCAGATCTAAGTTCGCATTGGAAGAATTATTTCAGAAGGCAAGTAGTGTAAGACAAAATAGTATGGGATGTTCCGCAAGTGTCGACGTTAAAAAGCCAGAAAATGTTAAGTACCAACCCGAGACGAATAAACTTGAAACAGAAAAAATCATTCACGACGTAAAGGATTTGGAAGTAATCTATAAACAAGACAGTGAAAAAATTAATCAAGTTAAATCATTTGCGGTGCCAGAACACGAAAACGTGAATGTGGATATTACGAATACAGCCGAGCAAACGAATAAAATCAATCAGGATAACGGAAGTAATCTACCTAACTTGAACAATAAGCATAAGGATAAACAGGAAAAGGCGCCTCGCGGTAATTTAGTAAAGGACGAAAACATTGACACACTGCAACCTCAGGGTGAGGAACAAATTGCACTGGACAAAGCATTACGAGAGTTGAGGCAAAGTTTGTTTACTTCAGGCATTGTACCAACACATGATCAAACAGATTTCACACTTCACAGTACTATCGTGGGTGAGTTAAAAAGGGTAATGTAATTGTGTAGTAAATACATTATTACATATAGTTTGTTATATTTGATTTTCGCACCATTGTATGAAGCAAACGTTACAATGGGAACATGAATTCTTCAATAATTACGCCATGGGTTATTAGTATTACACGGTAATTATTACGTTTCCCCCCATTTGTCATTGCCTATGCTATGATATAACAGTTGTGCGACAACTGCCAATCTTCAGGAATTCCACAGTCATTAATGTTTTTAGAATCGATGCTAAATTATTACATATTTAGTGAATAGAGGGTAATGGAAAAAAGTTGACCGTTGTTACACTGAGACTGCCGGAATTAATTCCCCGTGATTTTTATTGAACGTAATACTACTATTTTCGGTATCAATTTTCACTAAATTGGAAATTCAATCAGATTATTTACAAATACATTATTTACCAGTCAGGTCAAATTCTATATGCCTGAGAAGTAGTTGACTTACGATAAAACAAAGTTCGGCGTGTGGGCACAGTCCAATCCGCGCGCTGCGTTCATGCATTCAAAATGTATATTCTGCACGTCCTCTATCAAACAATCTGATAAATGCCAATCCATCTAGGACTAATTATTTGATTTTAGGTAATTCGACAATCACCATCGACGCAGGATGCTTCAAAGCAGCAGTCGTTGACGCGGGAACTGGCTTTTGCAAGGCAGGTCTAACAGGCGATGATATTCCATCGGTGGTGATTCCAACATTAGTTGGAAGACTGCGTGACAACGCAACATCTGTCGAAACTTTCATCGGAAAAGATGCTAAATTAAGAGGAAATTCACTTGAGTATTCGGTATGGTATTCATATACCCCTTCTCCGCATCAATTATTAACGTGCAAATAAGTTTAGATATCATGTCAATGAAAAATGGTTTTATTACAACCCTTTTGATCTAGAATCCAATAAATCGGGGAATTGTTGAGAATTGGGATGACATGGAACGAGTGTACGACCATATTTTACATATGGATCTCAACTTGGAACCAAACGAGTATGGTGTGGTTATTCCAGAATCACCACTAAGTGACAGAAAACGAAGAGAGAAACTTACAGAGGTAAATTAACATTGGTAAATTGGTTTCTGTATCGCAGGGTTCGCAAAAGTTGAATCGATTGTAAATGTAAATTCTTGCAAATCTATTCATAGTAACTTCTAATCAACGTATATTTCAGATGATGTTTGAGAAATTTGACGTCAAAAAACTTTATTTGGGTTCATCTTCGTCACTTGCATTACATGCATTTGGACATTCGACTGGATTACTAGTGTCGTTGGGCCATGGAGTTTGTCACGCAGTACCAGTTGTACAAGGTTAGTAGACACGAGAACTAAATTTTTTTTTTTTCAGGCCATTATAAACATTATTATATTTAAACTGCTCAAATAGATGGAAATAAAAGTGGTACTGTCGACTTGGGCACATGCCGGTGCCTAGAAAGACAAATGCAACAACAACATAGGTACCAAAACCACTAACAATTTGGCACAACAGCCTATGAGTCGATTTCGTGCTCAATACTGTATAAAAAGACCGTTATGAGTTTGAAGTACCTTCATAACATAAGTCACAACAAAAATCAATATGCGGCTGCTACAAATTGATATTCTTTTGAATTAATCCTTCACAAATTTACCTTATGCTAATTCATTTCGGTATGTTCACAGGAAACATCATTGAACATGCAGTACGAACAACAAAGATAGGAAACAAAGATGTCATAGACAAACTGCAGAGAATTATGACAACAAAACTTTCAAGCATTGGTAATTGTTTTATCGAAAATGTTATTTTATTTTCATTGCAACGTCTGGTTTTCTGTACATGTCAGGTGACCGCTGTCAGGCACATATAATGTCGTCATACTTGGTTGGCGCAAAGCCTGCTTGAAAAGATGAGCTGATGAGAGTTTAATTTACTGCTTGTTAAAACAAAATGCTGGAGACCCTATGTGTGTAATTCCTTCATTTTTAGACGAAGACATTGCCAGAGCAATGGTTTGAAAAGACAAACTACGTATGCATAGATTATGATGAGACAAAGAGAGACGAAAAGCTTTGCGAACAAAAATCGTACACTCTCCCAAATGGAAAATCTGTTAATTTGAGAAATGAAAGATTTGAGTGCCCGGAGATATTCTTTAAACCACAAATGATTCCAGGTAAATAATTTTAAACATAGAATAAAAAGATTTTGGCCTATACGTAACATAGCCGTCCTTTCCAGAAAACAGATGACAGCTGTGAAACATATTAATATCAAGTAAATTGTTTGCTCAAAAATTGTTCGTTTTGCACAAACTTTTGTTAGTACACGAGGGCTTTAGCCCGAAGGGCGAATTCTCAAAAATCAAGAAAATGAGAAAAAATATTTTCCACTTTTAAACTATCAAAATACTTTGCTGAATATTGCTTCAAACTATGATTGAATTCCAATTCAAAAGACACCTACGATATATCTTTGTAATATTTCCAAATGAAAATTTTTCGAAAAATTGTATTATTCACATCTTTGTATTGATCCCCTCAAAAAGTCTTTTTCCAGTTCCATGACTACATTTTCAATAAGATGAAACATCATTTTAGCTCCTTGTTGTTTAGGTTGCACTGAAAGCAGTTTGTCAGATATTTGCCTGAGTAGTTTACAGTCGATTGAAGATCAACAATCAATTTCTGCTTTGCGGCAAAATATTATTCTGACGGGTGGATCTTCATTGTTACCGGGAATCGGAGAACGCCTTAGAATGGAACTCAACAAAAACGAGAATGCTAATGACCGAGCTAACGTTTTATTACTGCCAAAAAGACAATATGCCGAATGGCGTGGTGCTTCAACCTTGGTTTCAATGAATTCTTCAAAGCATCGATGGGTCAGTCGAGAATTATATGATGAACACGGAGAAACAATAATTCATAGGAAATACGTGTGAAATATTTTTTCAGTATGATGAAGGATATTGCATCTCTGTCATCTGTAAAAATTTGGTGTTCAGTTATTTATTATTATATATATTCATTTTTATGACATAAATATATATATGTATAACTATTGATATAAGCAACTATGGGTGTGTACCAGAATGAGAGATTCAAAATACGTGCTGAGTGACGTCCGTTATTATTAATCTAAAGCTGATTTTAACAAGAAAGATGAATCAAATATGTTATTCAGGAATTGATTTCAGAACACGTTTATTGCTATAGTTTGTACGAAACGTTCGCAGAATATTCATACAGGAACCTTCTTATTGGAAATGGATATTTGTGATCTAAAAGGGCCGATCGAGCGAAACAAACGTTTACGGAGCCTGGTGGTCTGAGACAAAGATTTAACTGGGCCGATTTGAATTGGGGTTACTGGAGATATCGCCAGGTGCCAAACCGGTGCAGGCTTGGGCATTCTTTAACCCTGGTAGTCAGATGGAAGTGATTCAAATTCAGCCACGCATCGAATGTTGCATTTGACTGATAGCAGAGGGAAAACCAAAAGGCAGTAATACCAAGCGCTTTAAACGGACTAATACGAAAACTACCACTTCCTACCTTGTACTTTTAAACCGGGGAAATACGGGGAATTCTACCACCAAGCGACACACGCCGATCGATACAGGTCTTATTAATTAAGGCGCCAAAGTGGCATGTTCCAACGGCTAATTTCGGGTTGCCAGTTTGCTGACATACAAAAAACGGAATTGGATCATGCCTGCAACTTGTCTCCTGTTAATTCAGTTCCGTAAGTAAGATTGTACAAGAGGAAGTGATTTTTACTTGAGAAAACTAAAAACAACACAGTAAGGCCTCGCTGCCGCGTCAACAACCTTTCATTATATTTTTGTTGTCTATCATTCAACTACTGTTTCCCCAGATGGCTGAGTGATGCATGCATATTTTTATGAAACTGCTTTAAGTCTTTTAATTTATACCCTGTGTCTTGTGTACGGATTAACAAGTTTCGTGTATTCCCATGTTTAAATTAAAAGCTCGCATGTATAATTTTGCAGAGGCCAATAAATGACGTTGAACAATTACACTCTAATATTTTTTGTTCTACTTTTTGCCTTTCAAGAATACTGACGCGTCTTTAACGCACCAGTGTGTCATGGCTAAAATTGTTGTGACCTTGTCAAAACAGGAAATATCCGAATTGCAACATTGAGTGCTCATTTTACTTGGTGTATTATTATTTTTAAGTTTTAATGAGTACAGCACAAATATTTCTCAGAAACATCGGATACAAATTTAGAAGAAAATATATAGCAATGTGTATGATGAGAAACTATTCACTATTTAGTTACAGCAAGAACATTCAAGAACTATAATCGTCGCTTTGATCTGCATTTTTGGAGTTCACAAAGGGAAAGGGAATGCTCTACTTGAAGGTGAGTACAATTTTACAAAGACAATTTTGAATACTATATGTAACAATTAGTGACGATTCTTGGAAAACCGATTTTGTCTAGAAGATCTGCATTGTTTTCTGACAAGAAGGGAACCTGTTGTCTGTCAGTTCGGTAAAATGAGAACCTGTATAACGTATTCACTTGTTCCTCGTCAATTAGAATTTAGATAGCAATGGATGCGCGGGGAAATGGGTCAGTGGCAAGCTACAATACTATTTATTGTTCCGTTATAGATGTTCCCAGCGATATAGAAGACGCTCCAATGGTTTATGCTGAATTCCAACGTCTTCTGATTTCGAATGAACGGATACTTCAATATAGATTATTTTATTTCGAAAACTCTATAAATTGAATTAATGCCCATACAATAAAACACTTTTTCAGCGTATTGTGGTACTTCACGTGAAACAATTGAAATTCTTGTTCCTCCCGAGAACGTATTCTATTCCCAAGCCGAAGAACTCTGCAAAGGAATTGGCATGGAAATAGGAAACATTTGCACCGTCAAGCAGCACCACTCTTTGCTGTCTCAAATTGCAGATATGATACCAGAGGGTTATATGTCCCTCAGAATTTGGACAGGAATGAAAACAGCCCGGGTGTGTATAATTTTTGTTTGAAGACCATTTTTCGTGTCATAGCATTCTCAAACGTCTCTGATTTTAAGTCGACATTCTGACGACTAAGTTCGATAAACAATATTTACCTGAACTCCAACAACGTTACATTAAAACGAACCTATTTTTTCAACATCCATTCCACTTTTTGGTACACCGATGATGATTTTTTAGCAAGCGAATCAACCCATATCCAGCCACAGTGTATGGAATGATTTGGTATGGTGCTTCATCCTTCTGTTTTCAATCATCATCATTCTATTTTTTTAACAGAACAATAGAATTCTTCTGAAAACTGACAATCCACCACTTCCTTACAATGTGAAGATAGGGCCACTTGATGAATTATGGAGTCCCGCGTTTAGAGGATCTCGCGCTGAAGGACAACACATTATGTTTTATGTCTCAAAAGAACTCTCGGCACCGGGCTGTAGAGAGGGTGGAGACTCAAATGCTGAATTCATTTTATTTGACCCTTCAATGACCGCCGACGGAGTTCTATGTCGAGCAGTGGTAGACGAGTAAACGGCTTTTAAATATCAATCCAGGTTGATAAAGATTACATTTATTTGACAACTAGATTATCATTAGCAAGATGTTTTCTGAAATGTGTTTGGTGCTAAAAGATTGTTGTCTATCTTGTAATGAATAAAATGAAGATTGAAAAAGACGACGTGTTCAAATCATGTATGAATGTAATGATATAGTCAAACATTTGTTAGTTTTTACGAATAATATAAAGTCGAAAGTACAATTTTGGGCAGTAATGTAATAATTTCATTGGATAAACAATAGCTCAAATTTCTCCTGTTTTGAGAGCCTTTCCACTCATGTTATGGTATGTTTAAATTTGGTAACACTTTTCAACTTCAATTTCCCAAATTCAACAAAAATGATCTTTGAAGCGTATATTATGGTTTCGATCACAATGCAATTTTGTCAAGATCTCCCTTCCTATTCACATATTCGATCAGTTGTTATTTTAGCCCTACAACAGAAAAGTGTCCAATATTCCTTTCGTATATATATTTCGTATATATTCAACTTTTGCGTTCAAGACCACGCCAAAACACCCTTGTCACGCTTTAAAAAAAAATTAGTAAATATCTAGTTAGAGAAGTAGTTTCCAAATGAATGGTTATTAGTGTACCGCGAAGAGATTTCATATTCGAATTTATTTCAAGTGGTTCACAATTCTTTTTTGAATTAATCGGTCACAAATCTATCCAATTTTCACTTATGTGAAAAGAAGGAAATAGCAAGTCTTTTCAGTTATCGTGGACTCAAACTGAAGTACGCACAACTGCCAGTAGATAGATGCCTTTGGATCTTTGTTATGGAAGAGTATCCAACTTTAAGCAAAATAAAGACATTACTACAATTCTTAACTTCCTATCTATGCGGGCTTGGATTTTGTTACTTAAACAATAATATAAAACAATAAATAAAAAAACTTGAAAGACTTAAAAACACGAAAGAAGAGTTAAGAGTATATTTCTTCAGACATTCGTCCACAAATTGCAGCTATAGTAAGGATGCACCAGGCACAACAGTCCCACTAACATTCGCCATTATTATTCTACACCTGTAACTAAATACAAAGTTTTAAGGGGTTCAATTGGTCAAAAATATTAACTAGATAAGCAAGTTTATATATGAAGGTACTATCCGAAAAGCAAGATTTTAATTCGTATTCCCCCTTTTTGTTCAGAAATTCTTTCAATTCCTTCCCTAGTTCAAAAACTCTGACTAAAACATTGCCCTTGGACAGCCGACGGGCCCGAGTATGAGTATAGTAAATGTTCAGCATTCATCTCAGAGCATAATTTTCTGAACAGGCGTGTGTTCAGTGCTTCATTCTTTACAAAGTTTACCGTCTTGATAACTGTGTTCAGAACATCTTGAAGAAAGTTTGATAGAGAGCAAGAGCTTGTCTGTGTATCATATTATACAATGACATCAGGAGAACGATTACACACTAATCTCTGTGAGCCACTTTTATTTCCTAGCATTGCAGGAGCACTGTCCGCGCATATACCACAAATATTGTCCCAGGCGACCCCTTCTTGGTCAGTAAACGCAGCCAACTTTTTCATCACATTCACTCTCGTGTTGGCCTCTGATGCAGAGCAAAACAAGATATTATATTTTATGCCACTTTCATTTACTTTCGTCAATAAGTACAATTCTAGCCATTTCTGAAGCCCATGGTTTGATGAGAGTTTCGTTAATTGTGTACGATTTGGTGACCGTACATTTGAACCCACGTACATTTGAACCCATGTCTATATCCGCGGGTTCAATCAATATGCGGGTGCTGAAACCCATGGGTTAGGGTTAGTATGGGTTCAACTATCCGTACAACAAAAAAATTTCCATAGGTGCAATAGTATGCAGGTGCAATTGTCACGGGTTCAAATGTACGTGGGTTCAAATGTAATGGAACCGTACGATTTATATTGCTTTGCGATTATAAAGCTCACTGCATAAGACGTTTCAACAATGCTTCGGGAATGTTGCTGGGATTCTTTTGTAAAATCCAATCGCAAACGCTTCACACTATCTTCCTTAAGTTTGAAAAAAAAAACACACATCTTTATCCTTGTAGGCTGGATGAACTTTTTCCGAATGAAGTTTCGGTTTTGATGGCATCAATGAAGGATGTCCAAGAACTTCATAGCATAAAACACACTGTTCTTTTTCTTCTCTGTTTTTAAGAAATGATGTGAATTCATACTGAATGTAATTTTCGATGAACTTTCGTTTTGCCATTCCAACCGGTTTCCAAGTTTCAAATGACGATACGATTACTATTTCTATTACTATCCCCCTTTTAGTGCAATCTGACCATGGAATGTGTTCGTTGCGTCATAATGTTTTTTAACAGCGAGGCATGTTTTGCAATAGATATCTTGTTTTTTTTTTCAGGACGCGATTTTGCTAACGAATCATTTTTTTTTATTCAACAACTGTAGCAATTTATATCTGGTATGTGGCCCACCTCAAAAAGTTTCCGTGGTTCACCAGTGGGCTATGGCGATCGTGATTCATCTTTCTTCAAGCTTTAGGGTTTCATTATTGAAGTTGCTATTTGTGGCTATACTTCCGCGACGTCACGATGAAAATTCCAATGCGTCTATCTGTATTCAATAAAAAAATTGATTGCAGTTTCAGAGCAAATTGAATGCAATTTGGCTCCCATGCAGTTTTAAACTGACGATTCATGTAAATTATATAAGATATATATATATATATATATGTGAATATATATGCTTTCGTTTCTGGCTGTTGCAGTCTTCTGTCGTAGTCTGGTGGTAATGCGATTTAAATAGGGTATCTGTGAGTACTTTTAGCCTGTGAAAAATAATTGGTAATCGGCATATGGTAAGGATAACGAAGCATAATGGTGATTCTAAACAATAATATCAAAAACTTAATTATAATTAAAAACAATTTTTTGTCTAGCAATTCATACAACGTAAGATATTACTGAGGCTTACTGGAGAATTCTAGTGCATGAATTATATTGGCTAAGAAAAGCAGGAATTATCTAATGGGTGTGTTCGATAAATGAGCAATTGTGGATTCGAATAAAAATGTTTAAAAATAAGACCTTATCAATTAAAATGTGATATTTTCAATAATTAAGATTTTATACCGGGTATATGGGTTTGTATTTTTTACATTTTCTCCTGTATAATATAATGAATATCATAAAAATTTAGTGTTTTTATGAAATGCTTTTCGACATTCCCTTTGAACAAGACATCAGAGAAGACGCTATATCTATGTTGCGAGCTACCATAATTTAGACGTTCGTCTGCATGGCACCAAAATTTATTATTTATCCAATTCATTTGTTTTGACAGATTGTGTCATTTAGTATCAGTCAAGATCGAGATTTGCTGCTGAAATCTAGATTCTATCAAAAAAACGGAATCAAGTATGAACTGCTCTGTGAACAATTCCAACATCTTCGTTGAATCTTTTAAGGATATACTCAACGGAGAATTTTACGTGGATATAATTGTTACAATACTTTTGATTTACATTGCATTCTGTCAGTTCTACGTTCTTATTTCAAAAAGATTGTTTAAGCTTCGACTTGATAAGTGTACGGACTTTTTGTTGGCGTCAAATCTTCGGTCTGTAATGAATTTGACACTTGTTTTCATCGGTATCCTTGCTTTAGCTAAGATGGTAGTTGACTTCATGTTTTATCTGAATTTGAACAGTGCGGTCTTTGTAGCTGACGTGCTTTTATCACAGTGGGTGTTTACGTCGGAGTATCTCATACTGTGGCTCCGTCAGACAATGTTTCACAACGAACCATCACTGAAGCACCTCTCGTCGAAAGCGTTGCATAATTTCAGTCGGTTTCAAGGATTTTTCATGGTATTCTTCAATGTGTTTCTGAGTACTGCGATTACATATGAAGGAATTCGGAATAATATAATTAGATTGAATTGCTTTTCAAAATGGATGACGATTTGTTTCCTTCTTTATCAAATTGAAACTCAAATTTCCACTCTGGCATTATTTGTAATTCCGTTATTTCGCCACAGAAAAACTTCACGAAAATCATTCGGGGGTCAAAGGTTACAACAGAAATCCATCAGCCTATTGAAAAGGTCGATGATAATTTCTCCTATAACAATGTTTAGCGACATTGTCGCATTTGTTGTATTATCTATATCTGGATTATCGGCGGTTTACAATGTGAATATAGCTTTTAACTTGTGGTGTCTGCTTTTTTGCTTTGAAGACTGGCAGACGAGAATGCTGCCATGTTTTGCTGTTTGCAAATGTTGTGAACAAAAACAACAAGAAAGAGATTTAAATTCAAGCAATGTCACTGAATGTAAAACTGCTGAAGAAGTCGTTTAAATTTTCCATTTAAACTTTTGCTACGACATAAGTTTGTGAAAAATTCGATTGCGGCTGTTAAAGAATATTACCCGATTTCTCCTTTTCCGAAAGATTAAAGATGATAAGATGTTTATCAATTAATCAAATGTTCAATTTACTGTGTATGATATGCGTATAATATATATGTTTGTGAAATATATTTCAAATAAAATATTATACTCGAAACTGTGCTTAACTAATTGATATTTTAACATACTTTATTTATTTCATGATCTCCCCGGTCAACAGGGGAATCGTTCGCAATTTCGCCACGGAGTTTGTCGCTCAGCGAAGCACGTTACGGCGCACCATGCACTGTCGTTGCACAGAATGGATTTTTGTCGCGTTGTCTCATTATTTATCGATCTTAAGATCGGTAAGTATGTTGATAGGTATTTGTCTGTTTGTGTGTTTGTCTGTTCGACACTTTCGTATGTTACGCGATCTCACGAAAGCGAGGTTGAATCTCCTTCAAATTTTGCATGTGAATTCATCATATCACGAATCAGTAGCCTATTGATTTTGGATGGATTATATGATTATTATAATTAGCGAGTTATTATTTAATTAGTGATAGGACACACGGTGTCGCTGTGGAGTACGAGTGGATGAATCGAAACCGCAGTATCTGTTTTGGGGGATCCCCTAACTTTCGATCGATAAGTCTTCGGTTTCTGACCGATATTCTCGTTTGCAATTTACTCCTTCATGCTGAAGATATAAGTTCCTTAATTTAAACAAATCGGATTTCG